TCTCCTGCAACTGCCCCTCGTCCATGTTCTGCCCCTGCTGCCTGGTCCAGGAGAAGGCCCAGACGAGGCCAGGCACCTGGACCCTGGACCCCTCGGCCCTCCACGATCACTCTTGAATGCTGCTGTCCCCTCTCTCCCGAAAACCCCCAAGAGTGGCGCGGCCCCTCTCGGCGTATTGTTTTTCACAGGCAGGAGTGGTCCGACTTCGCTTCTTGCGCCTCTTCGATCTGGACGCTGTTTGCCCCTCCACGAGGACACTACCGCTGAAGCGCTGGCCCGATTTTCGGATCGGCACTTTTGCTCCTGTGGTTCAGAACGGCGCTCTCGCCCCAGCGCGGGCCACTTTTCTGAACCCAAATCCATCCTCATCGTTGTCTCCCCGCTCAATTCCCCTCCTCCGCCTTCCCCCTGGTCTTTCTCCTCCTCCTCCTCTTCCTCCTCCTCCTCCTCCTCCTCCTCCTCCCACTCCTGCTCATGCTGCTGCTGCTGCTGTTCCTCCTCGTCCCCTTCAGTCATCCCTCCCCTTTCTCCTCCCTTTTCGTCTTTTTCATCCTGCAAATCCTCCACACCCAGTTCCACTTCTCTGATTGCACATAACAAAATGGTGTCCTTTTGGGCGTTCTGGGTCGGTCATATCATCCGTCGGCGGATTGAGACACACTCAGCGCCATGAGAAGGGATAGGTGGGAGGGGTCCGATGTCAGATATGGCGCGAGCGCTCCAAATTCTAGGATACTCCTGTTATTCCTGGAGGGGGCGCAGGGTGGTTTAGGAGGCAACTGCTGGGAGGTTTTCGTCGGAAGGATTAAATAGGATGAAGCCTCATAGGGGGGCATTTGCGCCGGAGTGGGCCTCGGATTAAGCGGGATTAAGCCAGATTAAGCGGGATTGAGCGGGATTAAGCTGGATTAAGCGGGATTAAGCCGGATTAGGCCGGATTTCGGACCAGGGCAAAATCAGAATTTGACCTCCCAGGAGTTGCATCCGAAGGTGGTGGTTGCAAAGCCGCCTCTAGAGGGTGACCGCTGGGACTCCGGGCGACTGGCTGGCGGAGGCAGAGATCATTCTGGATGCAGATCCGCGGTTTCACAGGAGGAGGTCGAGAGAGGCGGGAGAAGGGGGTGGAAGCGGGAGGGTGGAGGGGAAATGGACGGTGGAGGTAAGAGGCCAACCAAATGGGGCTGGAGCAAACAGCGAGAATCGCACTGCAGCGCCGATGCCTCGGCGATGCATCTGCGACGTCGGCGATGCATCGGCGCCGTCGGCGTGGAGAAATTCGGGTTCCACATCGAACCGCCTCACCGGTGTATCGGCGATGCGGGAAGATCATCCCGCACCGCTTACACCGGCCCCCCTTAGGAGGCCTGGTGCGAGGGCAGCGGGAGAGGGGGTGAAGGGAGCAGGAGGCATGCTCGTCACGGCAAAGGACTGTTGGTACTCCAGATTCCATAATAAAGTGGGGGGGGGGGGGGGGTCACATTTTGGGGGGGTCTGATTTGAGCTGTCTTGGAGGGCTTGGGGGGGTCTGGGCAAAGGGCCGCCCTTTCATGGATGGTCTGGGGGGGTCTAAGACTTCTCGTCTGGGAGGGCTGTGACCACCTCCTTTTTACTACGAAATCTGGTGTAACCTTGGCATCCGGCGATTGGTTCTTTGTTCAACCCATGGATCCAGAAAGTTCCCGACACCTTCCCTGGGCAGCTGTTCGTCACGGATCCATGTACGATGGCCCCCGGGGCCCAGAAACGGGTCCTCGAGGCTGAAACCTGTGAAGGGGCCCTGGGACACACAAATAAATACACACAAATAAAAGGATTCCCCATATTTTCCCACATGTTCTAGGTTTCTGTCTTCCCCCCCACTTCGCATATTTTCCCATGTTTGCTTGGGAATCGACGATGAATTGTGCCTGTGTTTTTTCCCTCCTGAACCTGATCGCACAAGAACGGGAAGCGCCGATGTTATCCTTTGGGCTCGAAGGGGGGACAAAAGGAAGCATCTCCTCGGCCAAAGGGCGCGTCTCAGGGGCCCTCTCGGGGCGTGTTTGGGGTTTTCTCTGGGGAGCCTCTGGGGGCTCCTTTGGGCCGTGCTGACGCCCGTTTGGGGACCACTCCAGAGCATATTGTTTGAGGATGTCCCGAGCGACATGGCAACTTTCCCAGAACCGTTCTTGACATGAGCGGGAAACGCACAAACATGACGAAATACGCAAGAACGTATACCGTCACTACGCTCAAATCTAATGTAGCCCAGCTCTCCGAAAGCTCAGAAGGGATACTTCTGGGCGCGCGCTCCCCGAACGTTCACAAGCATGTTGCTGAGCTTCCTCTCGCTGAGTTGTATCCTCCAGTTTCCTAAGCCTCCCGAACACTTCCGGCTGTCACCTCCATCATGGGGGTCTTCTTGCATGATCGGCGGCAACAACCGTAAGGCCTTCATAATCGAAGGACAATCGCACGGATTGGAAACAAAAGCGGGAGGTCTGCGGAAGGGTGGGCGCGCTCACGTTTTGGCCCGCTTCGCCGAGGAGTCGCCTGGCGGGGGCAGCCAAAGAAAAGATGCCGCAGACGCGCGACGCTCCGATACGACACCCTTGTGAACCGGCTGCCCCACGTTCTCCTGCATCCTCAGACCTCACACCTCCACCGCGTCCCCTCCGCGTCCCCCCCCCTGCCCCCCCTCCT